CAAAAGAAACGTATATATATATGGTCGCGCTTATATTGAATGTACGATTCAATTGAAAAAATCGAGGCGAGAGTGCTGTTTGCAATGTGCGCATTGTGCTCGTAAAATGCTATACTTTCAATCAATTACCTCCGCGTAAACTAATGATTACACATTTGTATCGAGTTAAAGGCGCAACAAGAACAGGCGAACGAAAAAAGAGTATAACAAAAGTGAGCAAAATGAAAATTGACTTGCAACAATTTAACATGCAGGGCATTGCGCATGTAGTACTAAAACACAACACGAATCAGTGCAACAAAAAATGAGGAAAATGAATAAATTACGCGATAGGCTTTGAAGTAGCCACAATTCACAGATATGCAAATGCGTCTGGCACAATTGTGTCTCATACTAATATGGCTATAAAAATATTGCGTACGAAACATATACACACACACGCGAGCACACTCACACACACAGAAATATGAACGCAACGTGTATTTTTTTGCTTATTCTCTGTTCCGAATTTGCCGACGGCAAAATACATCCATTTCACTGTCAATCAGCTCTTGTTGATTTCAATATGTAGTATATATCTTTGTTGAGAATTTAATCAGCCACTATACAGCTGTATGTGTGATTATATTAGCCAATATCGGATAACTCGAAAACCCCATTAAAACATTATCAACATTAGCAACGTGATTGTTTTGTTTTTAATTAATTAGTTTTTTCTTCTTCTTGCTTTCGATCGACATTGCAATTTTAATTTTTAATTAAAGTAATAATTTCTAATTACTACCGATTTATTAAGTGGTTAAGATTTAATAGTTGATCGAACACAAAAACGTACACGAGAAAATGATCTTTACATTGAATGATGGTGAAGTTAATGCACCAAGTGAGTCAATTGAAATGTGATCGGTGCGTGACTATGTCAAATTGCTTTTGAGTACAATGAATATTTGTGTATTTGGATCGCTGCAGGGTTTTGATGATCGCGCACACCATCGGTCGCAAATAAATTGAGCGTGACCATCAAAGGATCATCAGTTGTTGTCTTCTTCGTCAAATGCACATCATCTCATCAACTCTCTTCACAACTTAATTTTTCGGGCTACTCTTCGACTAAATATTTCATTTAATCGAAAGAAAGAGAGAAAAAGCTGTAAACGGACCAAAAATGGGTTATATCATTAAAGAATAAAATATAATCTGTAGCAGGTAGAAGGAATAATCAAAACCAGAACACATATAAATTATCAGGGGAATAAGACCTGAAATGAAAGACTTCTTTTGATGATTTTCGACTTAAAATGATGAGAATGTCTTAATTTCGAGCTTAAAATTATAATTTATCTATACACGTTTATTGTTTTTCTTACTCACTCTCGCTTCTTTTGCATCTGTGACCGTCGTCTCTTTTCGGTGTGTATTTGTGTAAATGAGTTTTTATTGTTGTTGTTATTCCATCTAAATGTTAACTTCAGATGAAATTTTCACGATGAAAAAATTCAGTCTCTCTCTCTCTCCCTTTTTTTCTATTGACCGTGTATAATAAATTGTTTTGCTTATTTCAGATTCTTTTTTAGTTTTATAAATCAATTTGCTGCATTTTCAAAGGCTCACAAAAAAATACTAAAATAACGCAGCATGCTGTGCTATGCTGAGAATCGATGAATTTACAAAAATAATCGGTTACATGTGTATAGCTGCCATAGCCATTCTTTTTCCTTTTTGTGTTGAGAGATGTTGCTCGAAAATTTACTTTATCGCCCCTTTCGCGGTCAGCATGCTAATCATTATATAATTTTGTTGAACATAAAACAAATCTCTTCATAAATTCCGGAGAAAAAGAAACCTCATAACACAAAAAGAACATGAGTGCGAGTTCATTGGTGAAAAAACTACACAGGGTCTGCCTGAACAACGTATTTCTAATATGTTTGCTGTTTTTTTTATGTGTTTTTACCAAAAAATTCAATTTTTCAATTTGTTCAGCGTAACAGCTCAGAACTCTGTGTGAGCTTGCACATTAAAAAACCATTTCTTTGCCGCGCTCTTTTGCTCAACCGATAAAGAAGCTAGACACATTTGTCGAATACGCATCTTAAAATCAGCGCATTGAGAAGTCAACCACAAAAGTTAATTAGATGTTTAAATCTTTTTATGGGCACCAAGATTTTCATTCTTTCTCACTCGTATGTTGTTGTTTTTTTGGTTAAATATCGTTTTGAAATCAACGCGAACCCCACGGATTGTTAAATTTTAGTTTATTGATTGCAATACCATGGCATGATCGGTTCAGCGCTAATAAAAATTCAGAATAAAAAAAGACACGAAAGGAATAAAAATGCTGTGTGTGCTCCTTTTTGGAAAACAATGTAAAAGATTCAATGTGTGTTTTCATAATTTATGCACATCTCATCTTCATAGTCGTCTTCCTCCTTTTTATTTGTGATTTTTTTTCTTTAAACTATGATTCATATAATTATGTATATCATCATAAATATATGTATGTTCAACGACGATTCAATATCATGACGGGAAATGCTGAAACCAAAATGTACGGGAAAAATACATACCAGGTATGGAAAAAAGTTGCAGCTGAAGGCACACTTTGATTGCATACCAAAGGAATTGAGAGCGTGTAAAATGAAGTGAAAGAGATCCGTCGATCATACATTCATAGGTTGCCATAACACTTATTGATAAATAAGTGAACATTTCTGAAGATGTGATTGAATTTTATGCTCGCAGCCAGTCGTCGATGATGATGATGACGACAACAACAAACACGCAAAAGAATTCGACAGTTTTTCCATAACAAGAAAATTAAGTTGTTTAAGAAGGAAAGTAAAAGGTTGGGAATGCATAAACAAAAAACGGAATTATTCGTTACGGCACACACACACACAACAAAAATTAATAATAACCGGTTGCCAGGAAAATAAATATGGCCAATGCTTTGGGCAGATAGGAAAAGAACAGAGCAACAAAGAAGAAAAGCAACACGCGTAAAAGATTTTTGCGGCTGATGCTTGATACAAATTGAATAAAGTTATTAAAGCACCGTCCACTTGGTCGTCGCCAAAAGCAACGACAAATACACAAACGATTTCGCAATACCCAAAATACAGCAAAAATATATAAAATTAAATATATATGATTTTATCTATTTATCTAAAAATGATTTGTAGCGGTTTGGGTTTCATATTTAAAGTAGTTTGATATCAAAATCCAGTTTGCCATTTGAAAAAGCAATGGTGTATAAATTATTGTCTAAAATATATAATTAAAAACAAATGATTCTATTTATGAATTAAAATATATTCAGCAGGGTTCAGGCTTTCATTTGCCGGTCATTCGACAAGTGAAAATAAAGCGGTTGTTTAATTATAAACACAGATGTACGCGAAAACAGATATATATGTCCTATTAACACAGAAATATTAACATATCTTATTACTAAATACGAAAAATCCTTTATTAACTAATAGTTAATAACTATTAACAACCAATCATACTACGCATATTAAAATGAGTAGTAGTATTAGGATCGATGTTAATAGCGAGTAGTAGTATGTTTATTATCTATTAAGATGCCGAAGTTAATACGCGCCATTTGCAATTTTTCGTAAAAAAACAATATTTTGACCGATTCAATTTTTATCACATTTTTTTCTTATTTGTAATTTTTATTGAATTTTTTAATTTTTTATGAATTTTATTGGAATTTATTATTTATTAGAAAATTATTTTCGTTTTTTTCAAGAAGAAATTTATTTTGTTTTTGTTCGGGGACTTTGTAGATTGAGGGGTCGATTTTACACTTTTTTGGTCCAAAATTTGTGAAAAAACGTGGATGAGAAAAATATCGATTCTAAGGTAATTTTTCATGCTGATTCCGAATTTTTGGGTTTCAGGTCAAAAAAATCACATCTTGCGGGTTTTTGACCCCCCGACCCCCTTAAGGGGTGGGGGGACTTGGAGGGCAGATATTGCCAGATATTGCATTAAAAAGGCAAAAAAACATTATTTTTTATCTAGCCAAATGTGTATGGGGGGGTTTTTGGGGTTGAGGAATCCATTTTTGACATTTATTTTGCGATATGATAACGTTTTGATACGATTTCCATACAAAAACTGGCAAAAATGGTCGATTTTTTTACCTGAAACCCAGAAATTCGGCGTCAGCATGCCAAAAAACCATTAGAAAGTGTTTTTTCCAGATGCCCTCCGAGCCAATTTTTACAACATTTTCCATAGTCTCATAGTATTTGACCCCAAATGGGGGATCTTACTTTTTGTGAAAAAATCAGGGGTTGAGGGGTTATGACCCCTGACCCCCCTAGGGGGTCGAGGGAGTTGGAGGGCAGCTGACCCAAAAAATTGACCCACCCTAATATATATTTACAATGAATTGAAAATAAACTGATTTTGTTAGTGATGTGTAGCGACAACAGCATCGAGAAGAGTTGCCTGGGAGTAACAGTAATGTGGTGTGTAATTGATTAAGTGATTTCGTTTTCGAGCTTCCTGCACACAGAAAAACTGCAACAAAAACATAAACGCATCGTGTTTAGTGCTCAGTAAAGTAAAAAATGTGCGCGTTGTGTACAATGGGATTCCGAAAGGCGAATGGCATCACATTTAAACATGCACAAAGTAATGAAAACACATTGTGTGGATGCCCTTAGATGAGTGCAGTTTCTTCGTCTTTCATAGCAATCATTGATGCACCTATGCAGATTTATATTTTTTGTGGTTGATTCAAGTGAGCGCGCAACATCGAAAATAGAGAATCATTACGAAAATGAGACTAGAGAACTTGTTTTTTGTGTGTTTTAGTTCTAGTTAATCAGTTTCGTTTCTTGCACAAAAAGGAGTAAAAAAATTGGATAGGCCACGTAATTAAACAAATGATGGCTTTCCTTGAATTTTTAGCATTCTAGTTTTTGCACTTTCAAATAATAAATATTATACGAATTTAATGATGAATTTTGTCCTTTTTTCAGATGGCGATGGTGATGATGAGAGTAACGCATCGAAACGTCGAAGATCACGAACAAACTTCAACTCATGGCAATTAGAGGAATTGGAACGAGCTTTTGCAGCCAGTCATTATCCAGACGTGTTTATGCGTGAAGCTTTGGCCATGCGTTTGGATTTGAAGGAAAGTCGTGTTGCGGTAAGTGTCACAGAAATTTCATTTTCACCATGAAATATTTTTTAATAGATCTATAGAATGTAATGTGGTCAAGAAATCATGTACAAGATTGCACAAGCAAACACTTCACACTCTATACATATACAAATACAGCAATTATAGTGTAGTACGAAAAAAAAGAATATAATGTCTTGTGAAGTTGACTATCCGCCAAAAAAAACTCCCAAAAAAGTTTAGAATAATAACGTCATCTGTAGTTAATTACATACTCCACCTCAAAATATAGAGCATAAATACAACTAAATACATATTTAATTGAAGGCAATCACAGTTCCAAAGTGACATTAGTTCAGAATGGAAGCGAGTGAGAGAAAAAATACATTAATTTTAGTTGGAGATACGAATCAAAATACAAAAACCGAAATGAATGAAATGTAGAAATTAATACGTTAAATAATAATCACTTCCCACAAAAATGGTTCAGCCCGAAAAAAGTGTCTTTCATGTTCTCGGTGATTTGCACCATTGTTGAACACAATAACTACACGTACACATATTATGTATCGATCATTACCACACTATTACTCATATACGACTCGGGAAAAAAATTAAATGTAGTACCAACGAGCACCACATTTTGGCTACTTATTACCTGTGCAACAAAATAATTAACGAAACTCGAATAAAATACCAGCAAACTGATACGATCGGTAAAATGCACACATACATAAAAAAACGACCATTAATGGTTGTTGATGAAGATGAAGACATGCTTCACGTGTAATTCGGTAGGTGAAAAGGAATGAAAGTGGCAACCGAAGAACTTTTTGATGAACATTTTCATTTTAATTACATTGTCGTGTTTTCAGTTTATATGCATGTCGTCTTCCCCATGTTGACAAATACGACGAGTTACGAAATTTTCTGATGTTTCAATCAAATACCAACTGAAGTATAAAAAAATTACAGCAGTTCACTGTAGTGATAAAATTCATTTTATGATGACTTAAAGTTGAATTCCGTACTATGTACACAGACTGGAATTTTTTTTGCATATTTCGTGCACCATAATAAACTTAATCACATCATTTTCATTTTATGTGTTGCAAGCGAATTAAATTTGACCGAAAAAAACACATCCTTTATTTATCTTGTGAAATAATTTCGTTAGAAAAGTTCGTTGTGATTGTAAATTGAATTCAATGGAAATTATTCTTTCTTCTCTCTCTCTCTCTCTCTCTCTCTCTCTCTCACACAGTAACGCAAAAAATTCAAAGTCTTTTCCTGTCTATAACACGATAATTACTTATTTACATAAAAGTCGGCAATTCAGACATAATAATCAATCAAATCTTATAACCAAATTAAACAAAAATTCAAATTTAGCTACCAAAAGAAAGTTTAATCGCAAAGGAAGCAATAGCAGAACACAATGGACGAATCGACTATTCTACTAAAAGCAATAACAACACTAAAAAAACAAATGGGAAACAGTTAGTAATTTTCGACGATAATAAAACATAACGTGAGGTGATTATTTGCCTGGTGAAATTTTGATGTGTGCATTTATGTGATCGGTTGTTCTTTTTGTGTATTGTGTGCCGACGACTCTCTATCGTGTGTTTATGTTTGTAAATGTCAACCCTCGCCACATGTGGTCAAAATTCAGATATAGTGCGATAGAAAGCAGCCAAAACTACAGAGTATAACAGTTAAGTGGTGTGTTATTCATGTCCGCACATTAGATGAATGTGGTATGTTAATGAAAAAAATTCTCGAAATTAAATAGAATGTGGCTAATGGCTCGTATAACATGTATGTGTGTGTGTGTGTGTATTTCCATTCTCTATTTTGACAGGCGCTACGAATTTAATTGGGTTCCTTCATAAATAAATGTACAGAAAAACAAATACGAGTCGACTTATCTTCATTTATTTATTCGGTTGCGAGTGCAAATCTCACCTTTGTTTCTAGCCTTTTCTGTGCTAAAAATATCTTCAAATTACTCAAGAGCCTATCGACATGAGCACTGCCAAAAAATTAAATATTTACAACCCTTTCCAAACGATGAAATAAACTATTTTGGTTCATCCTGTGTACTGCAAAACTTGTCGACGAAGCAGGTTTCTACATGTGGCGAATGTGTGTTTTCATTAGTTTTAATTTGAATCGAGCCAATCTCAGATGTATAATAAATAAATCGGTGTCGCAAAGCGTCAAATAGAAAAATTATTACACGTTGCCATCCGTTGTTACTGATCTTCAACACACACTGAGAGAGAGAGAGATAGAGAGATAGAGAGAGAGAGAGAGAGAGATAGAGAGAGAGAGAAAGAGAGAAGTACAAATGTTATAATATGCGTATGAGATTTTCTGTTTGCGTTGCAATGCATACGTTACAAAAGGCAACACAAAATTATGCGCTAACAGAAAAATTCCACTGAGACTGATTGAAACTAATCTAATACAATATATTTGAGACGTACCGTACTTTTCTTTGCTTAGCCATTTTTGTTTGACGTGCTTTAGAGAAGGGAAACTTGCAAAGGCAGAGGCGCATAAAAACAGAGAGACCCTTTTAAACGAAATTATACGCAGGCCGATTACACATCGTTTTAGTCGTGATACCATCATCGAATATAACATATGGTTGAGATTTCGGGGTTCGTTTTTCTTTCGGGTGAAACTGTATGTTTACTTGTATGGTTGAACTGTGAAAAACGGATGAACATAAGTAGTGAACATAAAACACAATCAAAGTCAAGTCCCATGGTAGTTATGAGTCCTTTTTCTGGTTTGCACTGAGGGCACAAACGACAAAATCAAACAAATCACACATCTATACGAAAGACTGAAAACAGTGGGAGAGAGGAACAGATTTCGTGCAGAGCGAAGAGCAATCGAGAGCATTCGCCAAATACTATATTAAGTGCTTGTCAATACTCGATTCTTTGTGGTTTTATTTGGTTGCTTTGTCGTTGATCAAGCAAACATGCCCAATACATCCATTGAAATTCTTCAGAATGAGCATTTTGTTGGAATCAAATGTCATAAGTCGGCTGATAATCGATTTTCAGCTTCTCCCGCTTTGCCTTTTGTACCTCTGTCCTTCTTTCACATACTAGCAATCGAATTAAGGCAATGTGATGATACAATTGCCTCCTTTAATGGCCTCCAAACTGAGAAAACGAGATAAGCTATAATAACATGCACATTTCGTTTCGATTGCGTTACGTTTTTATTTACTTTCTAATCGTGTCATTTTTTTGCTTAGTTGAATCATTTTATTCGTGTTTTTTTATTGCGGTTTGACACAAATGCTCCTGTTTGCTTACAAACGCCTATTTTTCTATTACACATTACGGCTCTATGTTTTCATTTCACTTTGTTCTTTTCCGTTAACATTTTCATTCGATAACTTTTGATTATGTATCTTTTGTTGTATTATTTGTTTCGTTTAATGTGAATCATTGAATGTAAGCACGATACAGCGATCTGTGTGGGAGTGGAAATGTGACAGACCATTCATATGAAAGGTTTCAGGCAAAGAGGGAAGAAGCCCAAACAGCTAAAGCAATAAAACACATTAAATGGCTTGCACACACAAATCGCAACTTGCAATGCATACCAATTCGAATTGGTTCAAAGAAACCATTAGATTCTTCGACACATGTGCATATTTTCACCATTTCAATCGAACATTTTGTTAATATGGTGTGCAAAATATAATTCATGATACCATGATGCGCTTTTGATCTCCGTCAGAAATTGGTAAATGGGCAAAGAAAAATGTGACCGTACAATCAAAACAAGCCATTAGTTTAAATAAATGGTTAGTTCACAATCACAATTGAGTGTCTACCTATCAAACAAGAGAAAGAGAGAGAGAGCGAACGAGCGAGTTCGTGATATTCCAACTTGCTTTGTTTCGGACATTTTTTCCAAACCGACATTAGACTTATATCATGTCGCAATTAAAATCTTGTTTTCGTGTATAGCGTTTTGTATCCGAAAAATATTTATACGTGCAGGCGTCTCTCGCTTATGCTGTTGTGCGAGGTTTTTTTTTTGTTATCTTTTTTCAACAATAACATCGATTATACCACATAGTTTATTTTATAGTATTTCACCGTCGGAACTCTTTCCACCATTTTAATTGAGGTTTTGTTATGTGTGTGCAGACTCTGTGCGCTATTATACCGACAAAGTCATTCATCAAATTAATAACACTGCCAACTCAAAACTGTCTCTGTACCCATTATGATCGAAAATAACTTAATCATTAAAGTTGTTTGCGTTGTTGTTCTCTTTTTTTGCTTTTTGCTTTGCATGATTGAAATTTATGATCATATCGCGGTTGTCAGTTTGTATATGTACAGATTTCAATTGCCTTTAATTGCAATAGATATCTTATTGCACATGATTTTCTTTTAAATCACGACTCTTGAATTTGTTGAAACATATTTCCTTCATAATATCAACCATATTTTTTGGAATTTGTTTCGAAAATAGTTTTTTTTTTAAATATATTTAAATGATGTATTTTCTGTTTGCTTTGCAACATTTTGTGTTCATTTTATGGGCTTTATGATTCAAAAGATGAGGAGAAGAAAAAAACGTTATTGTAAATGAAATGATGCGTAAAAACAATAATAAAGGAAATTAAAATTGCCTAACCGACGAAAGTATATGAACCCAATAAAATAATTTGCGTTTTCAATTGAAACGATGAGGTTATTGATGGTGAAAATCAAACGGTAACCACGTATGCGCCTCAAATATACAAATATACATAAACACCATCTATTCGTCTCTTCAACGATCCATGGAACGCACTCTCAAACAAGCGACTGATTTTCTTCTTTAACCTTTATGTATATACTGTATACAAACATCACTTGCTCCGCCCATAAATTACTACTACACCAAGTAGAAGGCAACAACACATTGGCGTACGGGTGTCAACACATACATATCCAGACACGTCGGTTCTTGGTTCATATATTATGGTTTTTGCATGGACAATCGAATTGCTACACTATGTGCTCTTCATTATGCAGTGTGAATATGAAAATAAACAAGCATATTGATATCACTAGACAGAAAATGTGTACTCCATATTCTGTCACAAACATATCAAGAAACAATCTAACCAAAACTGTTAGTTACCTTCTTACACACAGACTGAATAGTTTATCAATTTTTTATTTCAATTTATTATATGCATTTATACTGAATTTAAATAAATCTGATGGTGAGACAAAGAGAAATATTCATTTCTACCAGTTTTTTTTATTTTTTCAATCTCTGGTAAAACAAGTCATAACTTTTCCTCTTTGGATCAAATGATAAAAATTCATTAGGAGTAATTTGCGAGTTAAGCAGAAAAAAAGAAACCAGGAATGCTATGGATTCAATTCAGTACAAAGTTTTTACATTGCATTCGTATAAAGTCGGCGGTCATAATTGGCAACATTACTTGATTATATGACCACATAATGTTTGCATAGATGTGGAGAAAAAACAAGTTGGATTAGAATGATAAAAAAAAGAAAATGACATTGGTAAATGGCACTTGGTGATGCTACTACATTACAAATACATACGGATTTTATGAGCAATGAAGTTTCACCTACATGAAGAGCATAATAGGAACACCGAAAATTGCTCTCATACGCACATATAATAGACACATACTATACCCGTTTCTTTTCAATTTTGTACATGCTGATATCGATTTACTCGAGGCAATATCATTACACACCTTTTTGGTCTGATCTGTTTCATACCTCTTTCACTCATCCACTTGGTCGCTTGTTCTTTCTATTGTTTAACACGTTGGATGCTTCATTGAAAAGGTTCGCTTGTCTGGCACAATCAAAGTCAGTTAAAACCACAGTGCAGTCGAACCGGGAAAAAACGTTTACTGCACTGAAAATGTTACGGCAACAGAAATCTGAAATTGGATCAATAAACGTATGTTCTTGTGGCCGTTGTTTCTAGATTCATCCCTCTTGAATTATTCGACTCATTGCGAGAAAAAAAATCTTTTCGCTTTCAGACATGTAGATAAGTCGAAATCGAGCATTGCTCTATGGTATCAAGTTTTTAAACGAAAAAAAAGAGAAACAAAATAATAAAACCAACCACACCAACAACATATAAAATAGCTAACGTTAAACTTTTTCGTGAAGTGCTTGCCATATACACTAAATTAGACGGAAATCGGATGGATCATTTCTAATTGAAATTTATAGTTTCCATTTTCCACTTGACTTCCACTTGCAGTCAGTATGGGTTTATTTATCATTAGTTCCAAACCGAGTGTAATTAGGTCATACATTATTAGGATATAATGGAATGTGGTCTCTTTGCGCATCACGTGATGACATTTTTCCTTGCTTTGATTAATAAGTTTTTTGTGAAACATGCTAATTCGATAGTTGAACGACCATGTAGTTTACCACATTGCACTATGTTTTGACAAATGAAGACTAATAATGTGGTTAATTTGATGTCTAATTTGCAGGTTTGGTTTCAAAATAGACGTGCAAAATGGAGAAAGAAAGAGCATACCAAGAAAGGTCCAGGTCGGCCAGCTCACAATGCACACCCGCAATCGTGCTCGGGCGAACCAATTCCACCAAATGAACTTAAAGCTAAAGAAAAGTGAGTAAACATAGCTATTACGTGTTTTATTTTTACCACGATCTCTTTTCTCCCACTATTATTTTCTATCACCTTTTTTAAGATCATTGGTTTTGAAAAATTCATTAACCTAATCATGTGTTTTTCTTTCCATTTTGTTTCTATTTTTTTCTAACAAATAGAGCTCGTCGCAAAAAGAAATTGTCCAAAGCTCTGGAGCGCCAAGCACGAAAATTACGCGCTAAAGGTATTACCGTTGACATCGAAACACTGAAAGCAGAATACTTGGCTCAGCATCGAATTAACAGTGAATCGGATTTGGAAGATGATGACATTCAAATTGATGTTGTCGGTGAGGTTAGTGATGACGATGAGCCAGAAGATTGTTCAATGGTGCGACGCGATAGCACGGATGGTCGTGAAAGTAGTGGTGACAGTGATGCACCAAAGATTAGCATCCGATCGAATCCCTTTAGTATAGAGTCATTACTATACAATAATACGTGAGATTTCACTACCCCACAACAAAACACATCAACGAAATGGTTGGAGATTTTTCGCACGCAATCTCTCATACAAACCAAAACCGATTGCCACTCCAAGCATAGTACAGATTAATGCCAACAACAAGATGAAGAAAATGTGTAAAGAACAGGAACAAGATATATCATTTACTTAGCCATCGTGATATGTAGAGGACCATTGATTATATTCTTACCGATTTTGTCGAGAGACCAAGATATTTTTTCCCCTTCATTTGAAATTATCACGTTTTATCTGTTGCAAAGCTAATTTTACTTTTATATTTTTGTTTTATTTTTCTTCTTTTCAATGAAATTGGACTCTTCAAATCACGTGAGAAACCGCATTTTATTAACTTGCTAAAGAAGTTAAGTTTTAAAATCGATCCATTGAATTATAGATTACACTTTTCAGAGAAGGGTAAATCACAAATTGTGATTCACAATTTAGAAATGAATCGTTGCGGTGAAAGAGTAGCTCTTATTTTTCTCCAAATAATACTGCAACATGAAGTTTTTTTCACACGGTTTATTTGTTGTAATACAACAAATAAACTATTCATAAAAAACTTTATGTTGCAGTATTATTTGGAGAAAAATAAGAGCTACTCTTTCGCCGCAACGATTCATTTCTAAATTGTGAATCACAATTTGTGATTTACCCTTCTCTGAAAAGTGTAATCTATAATTGAATCGTTGCGGCGAAACAGTAGCTCTTATTTTTCTCCAAATAATACTGCAACATGAAGTTTTTTTCACACGGTTTATTTGTTGTAATACAACAAATAAACTATTCATAAAAAACTTTATGTTGCAGTATTATTTGGAGAAAAATAAGAGCTACTCTTTCGCCGCAACGATTCAATTCAGTATTATTTGGAGAAAAATAAGAGCTACTGTTTCGCCGCAACGATTCAAATATATGTAATGTAAATACGTATTGAAACTCCTATTCAAAAGTTTAAGCATGTAGTGTAGAGACGATTTTTTGGTGCGTATAAGTTAAACTCAAACTGAAGCGTAGAGAACATCGACTTACGCGTGTGCTCTCGCACACAATATGAGATCGAATCCTGAATGCTTTATTCTCAGTAATTTAAATTGGTAAAAACGTAGTAAAATGAGAGAGGGAGAGAGAGAGAGAAACGCGAATTCAATTGCAATATAATTATTATTATGAAGATTTAAAACTTAAATTTAGTATTTATTTGAAGAAATTTTTGAAAGAAGCATTCTGTGAATATAATTTCATCTTGATTTTCCTATTACTTATAACACTATATATCTTAATTAAATGTACAAGAAAATGAATAAAACAATGTAAGATATACTGAATTAAGCGTTCACACATTTATTGCATTTATTTCAATTCTAATTGGCTCTTATCGTCTCTGCTTTGACTTTCATCAGTTGAACGTCATTTTATATGAAAAGCACTGAGTGAAACTTCTTATTTTTATGTTTAGTTTGAACTGGAATGATCCAATAAAATCATAAGAAAAATTTAATGAGAAAAAAAAGAAAAAATATCATATCAAGACTCTATTCATATAAACTATACTATCTGTAAATATATTTGCCCATTGAAAAAAAGAGAGTACACAGAAAGAAAAAATGTGGTCTTTTTAATTCAATTTTGGTAGATTTAATATAAAATCAACCAACAACGAATTAAATTTACCATTTTTGACATCTCTGAGGCATATTTCTCAAAAGAGACTATCAGTTTAATAAGTTTTACCAATTGCTTCATTTCATTCACCAAATTCATGAGCTAGCGTCATCTGTGGTTTCGAAAAGTTGGTAAATGTAATGAAGCAGTTGGTAAAACTTATTCAACAAATAGTCACTTTTGAAAAATATACCTCAGAAATGTCAAAAATGGTAAATTTAATTCGTTGTTGGTTAATTTTATATTAAATCTACCAAAATTGAATTAAAAATACCACATTTTTTCTTTCTGTGTAATGCATATTTATCTTTTAGTTTGTCTTCAAACACGGCCACACATATTGATTGTAGCCAATTACAAATAGTAAACGAAACATCGAAAACATAGAGAAAATTATTCAGTTTCTTTGTGAAAGCAGTAGATTTTATTGAAAAACCAATTTACAATAGTATATGAAGTTACGGCAAAATAATGTAAGGAAAATAAACAAAAATTATTACTTATTATTATCATTTAGAATTGAAAGACAACAAAATATGCGACAAAAGAAAAGTTTATTGATTGATACCAATAAAGTAAAACTATTCAAACAAAATTCTTTTGATTCAATTTTATATTTTTTATTGTTCTTTCTTTCTCTTAAGAATTTAATTCAAATTTTCAAGGATATTCGAATGGATATGTGAATGAGGTAAGAAAACGGAAAACTGAATCGTCGAACTTACAACCTGTTTCAAGTTAATTCCTTTTATTTTTTGTTTTGTTGTTTTTGTTAAACGTCTTCTGAAACAAACAAGGTCTGTTTAAAATAATATATGTAAAGCACCTGAGCATATAACAATTTGCTGTCGACATAGAACTGCTCCACAAAGTCTGGCACAATTTTTTCTATTAAATTTTCTCATCGCCATAAATAATAATTTAAATGATTCTGAACAACAAAAAGCGCATCTTCTTTACACCTATTTTTTTCTCCTTCATGTAATAGTTTATGAAGCATTAAATTTGGCTCATAAACATCGAATTCTTTCTTTTTTGCTAAGTTATTTATAGTTTCTTACATGATTTTTCTTTTTTTTAATTCTCTCTTTCTGTGTCAGATTTTTCTGCCTCTAACATGGCAACACATTAAACGGTATTAATCTGTGGCTGTTAGTCTTCTGTATTCTCTCTCTATCTCTATCTCTCTCTCTCTCTCTCTCTGTTCTCCGAAACGTAAGATTCATATGAATAAAGCCAAGGAGCCAAAGTGAAGAATAAGCATAAGAAATTTGTTATAGTATTGAAGCGTTTTTGTGTTGTTGAAATGAGACATCAAAATGTTTACGATTATGATTTTCATAAATAATTTTTTGACTCATCATTCAGGTATCAGCCAAGATTTGTTCACATTGATGATTCTTAATTTTGGGATTTAAATGCGAAGAGAAAACGAAAAACTTATTGAATACGATTGAAGCAATAATACCCCAATAATGAACTAGAATTTGTGTTCAAATTATCGATTGAAAAGACATCTATACCGATGGCAATACCCATTTTAAAATTGAATAGACCAATGCAATACAATAACGTTCAACTTTCTTTTCACACATAAACGCTATCTAAAATTTATATTTTGAAAAGTAAATGTAAGGTGCTATTTATTGCGTTTCATGAATGAATAATACATCTAAAGTCATATTGAAAAGGTAACAAAAACACATAAATTAGCTAGACCATTGAGCAAAACATCAAAACAAACACCGAGAATTCCAGAACCGTAGGACGAAAAAGAGCAAACAATGTTGCATTTTATGTGTATATGTGGTATAATTTCTACTCAAATTTTTTTAACAGACATCGAAATTGCTTTACTTTCAAAAAAGTATCCCTTTTTCTGAACGAACTTTCATTCATTAAACGATGCACTTAATTAAATGGTTTTCGGCATGTCATAAAAATATTTAAATACATCATTTGAAACATTCAAAAACTATCTCAACAGAGCAAAACGCATCTGAAAGTTTAATAATCAAAGCCGCTTCTTTCGTCACAAATTTACAGATAAATAAAAAATATGAATAAATTTGGTGTTAAACGTTTATGATTTCGGTGTGAAAACAGGATTGGGTTTTAATTTTTTAATAGAATATTTCGTAAAAGAGAGCGACCGTTTATGAAAAACAAATCTGACAAAAGAGAGACATAAATTCAAGATTATTTGAATTTATGATAATTAATTTGTGTGTTTGGAAATGCGTTGTATTTCATTTTATCTTCTTTTTTTCCAAAAGCAAAGTGATTTTGTGTAGCCGCCTTTGGTTGAAATGTTGAAAGAAAAAAATTAAATGTTGAATATATTCCGAAATGTGTCGTATTCATGCTGTGCGCTAGTTATAAATGGTTCGACGGCAAATATTTGCTGTTAAAGTAGCCAACAGTTTAATTTCGATGTAAGCAAGGAACAAAGAAAATAAAGAGAGAGAGAGAGAGAAACAAGTGAATAACCAGATTGAAATGCATCCCAACTTGTTTCCACATTCAATCGTTCATAATTCAATTTCATAAATAAAACCAGGAATAAGCGCACACCATACAGGTAAAATATAACCTGGCATACGCACATTTCTAATAGCTTGTGACCCGATAGTATATGCATGGAATGTCAATAATAGTAAAATTTATGACGACTCTATTGAATATGGTGTAATTAATGCGATTTAGAAATTAATTTTTCCACCATGTTTTTTGTGTTATGTTTCTTTTTTGAAGCGGAGGTCGGACGAGTCAGGGGACTATATTAAATGTGAAACATGCGCATCAATATCGTTTTGAACATGCATACTAAATGAATAATGATGATGATGGCGCATGATGGCGTATTAAATGCGACCGATTCCAATTCGAATCTAATTTAATGAACACATTCCGTAGTTTGTGTAATTATGCATTCATGAATGGTATGTATACGATATACGATGTGCTTAAGCTTACGCAGACAGAAATACTGCAATCGATTTTTGAATGTAAAATCGATTGAAATTTTTTAAAATTTAATTTTTCACCATACTTGATTTTCACATTTAATTTTCATCTTCTATACGATAATTTTAAATCAAACAATTTTCAAACTAAAACTCTAAAGCCATTAAATGCAAAATCGTTTTTTGTTCGATTTGAAACTAATAAACTAAATAGCTGTACATTGAAATGGGCTTCTGTGTTGTTCAAACACAGGTACACGTGTTTCAAATGCCATTTTGATCAATTTAATTATTGCCAATTTCCATCATTAAATCTACGTTGATTTAAATGTGTGTGTTGAAGATGTAATGTGTTAACATAATTGCACAATGATTTCTCTGTTTAAACTGAACTGTTCAGTTTGAATAATATGACAACACATATACAAGCCAAGCAGTTATACATGGAAGAATGAAACAAGCAAAAATGAGTACCAAACATAAATCGCGTAAAATGAACGGAAACAGCGGTAGCCAGAGTTCAGCAAAAAAGATTATAAAATAAAATACAACCGGTCATATTTCACGCTCACATTAATAGTATGCAATTAATAAAATGAGACAATGTGTGTGTGTATGTTGACTAGTAAGCCAACTCGAATGTCATCTGCTAGGATGTCTTGAATAATGCTGATAATAAGGAACTCAGATTTTGTGAGAATATAATACAACGAAGCCCGTACCAATTTACGTATTCCGATGAATTAACATATAAATTCGGTTTCTATCACTCGAAACAAAATGAAAATAGCAAATTATGATATATTTTTTTTTCGCCAAAAACTCTCAACCAGACTGTTCAACATAAAATTCATAAAAGCCAAGAAAAGGTGAGAAGAACGT